CCAGTGATCTAGTGTGAATCCTGCGGAAGGAGATGCCCAGGGAGGACAAAGGGCTCGGTACAGTGCACCTGCTAGTCCATGAGTGTTTCCTCTGCACTTCTTTTTCAGGGTGGCTTCCCAGCTGAGTACATGCTGGATGAGGAGAGCCAAGGGAGCCTGTCCTGCCTGGATAGCAATCACTCCCACTTCATCTTAGTGGATGATGGGACCCATGGCAGATACGGCATGGAGATCCCCTTGAGGACCAGGCTGGAGAAGTTCATTTCTGAGCAAACCAAGGTGAAAGGAGGTAATGTCAGCCATGGTCAGGGACTGCCTTGGAACCAAGAAAGGAAAATGCATGAGATCCCTAAGCCAATGATCCTAGGGCATGAGCAAGTATTGATGGAGCACAGGGGATCAGAAGATGTTGCAAGCCCCTAATAACTCCTTATTAGTTTTCTGAAAGAGTTCCTCAGTGACACAGACTGAGACAACATTCATTCCTCCTTCAGGTGGAATGACTACAACCATCTCTTCCCTTGTTAATAGCAGATCTCTTCCAAAGCTTTTCTAGAGCCTGGCCTATGATGGAGACAGCTGCAGTTGCCTCTTCCATGCTGGAAGAGGCCATCATAGGCCAGCCTTAACAGGAGGGTTTAGCATCCACATAGACCTGAATTGACTCTGCTTCCCTGCAGGAGTGGCCATCAGGATCCCAATTGTTTGCGTCGTGCTGGAGGGTGGACCCGGGACTCTTGATGTAAGTACATCTGCCCTCTCTTCAGGTGGCTCGAGGAAAGACAGTGCAGTTGCATGGGTTGGGGGACAGTGAACACCATTGTCTCATTGGGTGAAGTCAGCCTTCACCAAACCGATCTCTGGGGCTTAGGCAAGAGATGGAGTCAGTGGAACTGAACCGTGGCTCAGGAGACTAGTCTCCTGCAAGTGGGTGAACAGTGAAGCAGGGTGCAGAGAATTAGTCAGTTGTAACAAGTTAATTTCTTGTATGGGCATTCATAAAGTAGCCAGATGAGAACACAATGACTAATACCATACCTAAGCTGTGGATTTTTGGGGCCTGATCCGAAAGACCCTGAAGCGAATGGAAGCCAATGAGAAACTTCCCCTGGGGTTTGGACAAGCCTCTGTATCCTATCCATCTGTGTGTTGCAGACTATCTATAATGCAATCACCCATGGCACCCCGTGTGTGATAGTGGAGGGGTCTGGCCGTGTAGCTGACGTCATTGCTCAGGTGGCCCACCTGCCTGTCCCAGAGATCACCATCTCCTTGATCCAGAAGAAAGTGAGCATCCTTTTCCGGGACACCTATGAGTTCTTCACTGAGGGCAAGCTTGTGGAGTGGACCAAAAAGGTGAGAGGCTGCACCTGCATGGCTATACTTGCTGATGTCACTGGGAGACAAAGGGAGAGGGCGGGAAGTCGCCCATTGCAGCATCTGTGACTTTGTTTCTCCATTCCTCAACAAGGAAACATGCACACTTCACAAGTGTCACAGCTTTTCCAGCCATACTTCTAGCTATGTACCATGTATGTGCCACTCAGACTAGATACACACACACACACACACACACACACACACACACACACACACACACACACACACACACACACACACCCGTGCAAACTGATCTCTGAGTGTGTGAAGCAGGCAAGTGCGCCACGCACAGCAAAGCAGGGAGAATTTCTGGTCTACTCCTCATCTGGTCAATCCAGTACTTTCATTTTATCCCAGTCCAATGGGTTTTTTGCCTGGAGTTAATTCCCAGCATTGTTTTCCATCTTGGGTCACTGGATTTTTAATATGGGGAGAAAATCTGCATGAGACCAAACTCTGGCCCTGCTGAGGACAAGGGGATTTTCAGTGTCAACTGCAGTAGCGCTGGGATTTCACCCATTGTGCTGTACCTGCCAGCCTGTTTGTACATTGGAAGAATGATGGTAGACAGAGAATCAGCCTACTCTCTTGTAGCTGGACTGGAAGCCACAAAATTAACCTTGAATGGACTGGAGGATGCTACAGGTATCCAGAGGGGACACAGATTTAACATCCAGTGTGTACGGAAGGACTGTGGACACTCGAGGCAGAAGTAGGATATTCATCCTGAATTGGCTAGGAGGTGCAGCTGGGATCTACAGGGATAGGTCAATTTACCTGACATGGGCTGGGTAGCAGCATGGGAGAGAAGGCTTCTGCCACTGACCAGCTGATTCTCCGGCCTCTCCCACAGATCCAAGACATAGTGCGGAGCAGGCAACTCCTGACTGTTTTCAGGGAGGGCAAGGATGGCCAGCAGGATGTGGATGTGGCCATTCTCCAGGCACTGCTCAAAGGTGAGTGGCGGCATGTTTCTGCTCTGGTGGGGTGGCTTCTACCAGGGCACCTAGCAGCAGAGAACCTGACTGTCTGCCGTAGTGTGGGGCTCTCTGTGTGTGTGATGGCTCCCCGGGGTGCAGGGAGCCCAGCTGGCATCTGGGCTGTGCAGAAGGGCCCCCCAGTACTTGAACAACTGAACAGGCCTTCTTTACTGGTCATGTTGCTGAGTGTGTAGCTCACTGGTCCACAGGGGATGTTTCTGTGAGGTAAACATGGAGGTGTGAGCTATGGCCCAAGGAGCGGCTGGATCAGGGATTTTATGAGTTCAGTGATTCTACTGATGCTGACCAGGTAGCTGTCCCTGCAGCAGGGCTGCTCTGCAGAAGCCCCTCACCTCCTGGTCCTTTCCCACTTGGCTCATCTTAGCACAGAGCTCCAGCGGCTGCTTCCCTGGCCAGGACAATCCTTGCTCCAGTTGATGAAGCTCTTTGTTGGGGCTCTGCTACAGATGGCCTCCCGGAATCTCACATGTATACCAGCTCCCATAAAGTCATTTCTCTGCTGTTTCATAGACTGGAAACTCACTGAGGCAGGGGTAGTTTCACGGCAGCTCCTGTCTCACTGTGAAGTCACAGGCCTGCTTCTCAGAGCTGAGCACCTTGTGTGCTTCTGTTCTGCATGAGCAATGGATTGTCCTGTAGAAATCCCATGCCCTAGGGAGGTGCAAGGCAGGTGAAGATGCTGAGTATTGGGTACTGTCCTGTACCCCACAGGCCAGGGGGGAGCATCGCAGGAGATACGGGCATTGGAAAAGCCTGGCCATTTCCTGGGGTTCCATGGGTGACCTTTTTCTCCCAGGTTATAAGTGTCCCATAATCCTCTGAGCTCCTTTATGTGTTTCATGGGCGTCCTGCTGCCTGGAGCTACCTCAGGGCAGTCCTGGCTCCAGATGCAACTGTTCCAGGTCAGGGAGGTAACAATGAGGCCCAGTCTCTTATGCATACCATCACTCCCCTGTATGCCTTTTTGGGTACAGCATCCCGAAACCACGACCACTTTGGCCACGAGAGCTGGGACCACCAGCTGAAGCTAGCCGTGGCGTGGAACAGAGTGGATATTGCCAGGAGTGAGATCTTCACAGATGACCATGAATGGAAGGTGAGAGGGGCCTTGAGCCAGGTCAGTGCCACACATGCCCTCTAGCTGGTGTGATTGTAGGGGTGGATCCAGGATTTGGCAAAGGAGGTGCATCTCAGCACTGCTCCCTGGCTCCTTCCCACTCCAACCCATCAGTGTGGGGAGACTGCACTGTGAGAGCCTCTGGGAACTTTAAATAAAGTTCCCAAAACATCCCTCATCTTCTCCTCCATGCTTAGAGGTATGTCCCATCCCATACTCTTCCATTCTCTCTTCCTCCAGTCTCTGCTGTCTTCTGCACTGTTCTGGGGATGGGGGTGTCTTCACAGCTGCACCTGCCCACACCAGCCAGGCTGCTCAGAAGCTGGGCTTTACTGGGAATAGTAGCACTGGGAAGGGAGTGGGTTCCAGGAGCAGGCACAGAGAAACCACTGCTGCTGTGGCTGCCCTAGGTGAGCCTAACCTCCATGCTGCCAAGGAAAGGAACAGCTCACAAGATTCCCCCACCCCAGGACAGCCAGGAAAGCAGCCATGGCAAGTAGAGGAGGGGATGTGCTGCTGAGCATGGAGGGGAAGGGGGGATTTTCTTCCACTTTGGGGTCTTTTTTTAAAGTCCCCAGAGTCTCCAGCAGCACAGTCCAGTCTGAAAGGGGGTGCAGCCGTGCCACTGCACCCACTTTGGATCCACCCCTGGTGGCTGCAGTGGGAGGAGGGGAGCTTAAGGCCCTTTAAGCTGCCTTTGCACTGCCCCCTATTTCAGGGCCCTGAAAAGTCTTGCCTGGATCCCATGTGCCTGCTCTGACTTACACTCTGCTTCGTGCGAGCACCATGGGCAGCAGAGAACAGTTCTGGTGCAGCCCTCACACAGCACATCCCTGGAACCACCCCCAGCCTGTCCTCTGGGGTGGAGGGAGAAAAGGAGCTGGCTTTGAACCCGGTACATTGGCCAAGGTTGACTGCTGCTTGTGGGAGGACAAACTTCCTTGGAGCGTGCCCAATGGCATGTGAAAATGTCCCTTGATTCAGTGCTTTTGTAATGACCAGTTTTCCCTCCCATCTAAAGTCAACCTGTGCAGAGCTTTTACGTGTTAACTGGGTGGGGAACATGTTCCAGCTTTGAGAAGTGCCTGTCTTCTCTTAAAAATGATTCACCACCTCCCTGGCCAAGAACTCGACAGTGAAGGCTGCTGCCTGGCTGTGCACTGACTGGTTATGTGGATCTCTGGCCAGTCGGCTCACTACACACTTTTCTGCTGATTCACTCAATGGTATCAAAATGTTAAGGCAGAAGGAAGCAAAGAAAAACACTGGCTGCCCCCTTCTTGCTCCTATGCTTGGCAGTCTGATATTACAGAAGCTAGAAATGGGGAAAATCGCCTGTTGTCTCCTCTGTCATTTTTTTATCGCTTCCAACCCTGAAATTTAGCAATAGTGTGCAGAGGTCACTGTTTTGGCCCAAGTTGTTTCAGGAGATGTTCAGCTGCTGCTAGCTTTGGCCCAGTGGGTTGGCAGGAGATGTGAGTGGGGCTGGCAGGGAAACCAGAACTCTATTGCAGGAGCATTTTTCGAGGTTTCAAAATGCAGGTCCCAGTCTGGAGGGAAACTAAGACCTCGTTGTGTTTTGTTTCATTAAATAAATGGGAGAAAAGTCCCATTTGCTGCCCTAGTCTGGTAGGTCTTGCTCTATGTTGGGCAGTAGGAGATCCATGGTCAAGGGTAGGAGCTGGGAGCAACGGCACCTCTCACCTGGGCTCACAGACTCAGACAAGTGTGGAGGTTGGCATCACAGTCCTTTCCCTTTCCATTCATAGCACACTCGTACCCCTTCCCTGCTGCCCCTGACTCACCTTCCTCACTAGCAGGTGGTTGGTTGGGAAGCTGCCTGTGGTCAGGCTGTTCCCCAGCTCCAGTGACCCCTTCAAGGGGCTGCTTCAGTGCATCTTCCTGCTGCCCGCTTCCCACCTCTGGGCTCCATTTTCATCTCCTTGTCCCCACTCCTGAGAAGGAGGGTAGGGCTCTGCTCTACAATAGTGTGCCCTTCACTGCTCTTTCTGGCTTGACAGCCTGCAGATCTGCACCCAGTGATGGCTGCAGCCCTGATTTCCAACAAGCCTGAGTTCGTGAAGCTGTTCCTGGAGCAGGGCGTGCGCCTGAAGGAGTTTGTCACCTGGGACACCCTGCTTTACCTCTATGAGAATCTGGTGCCATCCAGCGTCTTCCACATCAAGCTGCAGAAGGTGCTGGCGGAGGAGAAGGAGCACCTGGCCTGCCCCAGGGCACCACGAGTTCAGCTGCACCACGTCTCCCAGGTGCTGCGGGAGCTATTGGGCGACTCTACACAGATGCTGTATCCGAAGTCCAAGCAGCCAGAGCGACACCGACTCTCCATCCCAGTCCCACACATCAAGCTCAATGTATGGGATGGCCCTGAGTTCCATGGCTGTGGTACAGTGAGGGGCCAGGGGGTGGGAGCCGTTATAGCTCCTTGGATAGGGCATGAGATGGTGACTGTCCATCCCTCCACTGAGAGGCTGGATCTGGGCCAGTTTTCTAACCAGGCACCTGATGAGCACATTGGGTGCTGGCCATCTCAGGCATTTTCCTGGCAGAGGAGCTGCAGGTTAGGCTCATTACCCAGCCCCAGCATGGAGGCCTTTGAGAATATTTGTGCCAGTCTAAGTGTAGTGGTGTCCCTCCACCAATGATTCCTCACTAATGTTGGCACGTGGCACAGGTGCCTGGCAGGGCTTACCCTACCTGGCTCACTGTGTTGCATGAGCAGCTGTCTACACCTATGGCTTGGTGCTAGCCCTGGGGCAGGTATGGCGAGTTGGTATCACCAGTGTGAGTTTTCCTGCACAGAAGAATACCTTCAGTTCTCTTGCTTTCAGTCCAAGTGAAGCCCTCTCCAGTTAAAGCATTCAGTCTTAAATTCTTGTCTGGTCCAGCGGGAATCCAGTCTTAAATTCCTCCCCAGAAGATGGCCTGGGGAGGCTGAACCCACACCTTGGACTAGGTGCCCATTGCTGCACTGCTTGTGTACAGTGGGTGTGCAGCCCTGTCCTTCTGGGTCAGTCCTGTTTCACACCCACATTCAGCTGGCATTCAGACCACACAAGGTATCAGGCTGGGCAGAGACGCAGGCCACCCCCTGACTCCTTGCCCTGCGCTGTAAAGACTCTCCTTCCTGTAGGCTCCAGACTTTCTTACTCAATGCCTGATGCTGGCCTCATCTTACTCAGGTGCTCTTGGGGGCCGCCCTCTGTGTTTCTAGAGGTGCAAAGATCCAGTGAAGAGTAGTGTGTGGGGAAGCTCCAGCAGCTACAAAGAAAATGTGCCAGCAGGTGCCCTCGCCTAGTTGTCTCTGGTGCCTGGCTCCCCAGCTCCCATGTGTGTGAGTGCAGGGTCTTTCGCTGTGAGCCCTGGAGCTGAGTGAAGCATCCCTCCCTGTGGAGAGGAGCAGTTAGCTAGGTGCCCCAGGACAAGGCCTGGAGATCTGGTTCCCTGCTCACTGGCTGGGTCTCTCCTAACCCCTCTGGGTCAGGGGTGGACCCCCCCCTGCAACACACACACACGCTCTGGTGGCTGGAGCTAGGACATGGGTGGTGTTTTTCTGTACTTAAAGCCAGAGTAGGTGCTTTGCCAAGTCTTGGTAATGAGTTGATTTGTCTTACTTGTTCCCCAGGTTCAGGGAGTGAGCCTCAGATCCCTGTACAAGCGCTCAGCTGGTCCAGCCATCTACACCATGGACCCTGTGCGGGACCTTCTCATCTGGGCTGTTGTCCAAAATCGCAGGGAGCTGGCAGAAATCATTTGGACCCAGGTACTCCAACCACTTCCCCAGCAATCCCAGAGGTTATGGTAACCAGCAGCAGGTCTGAACACTGGTCCCCCCGCTCATTACTAGACATCTGTGTCTACCTTTGGCCTGGAGCCAAGAAAGGACTCATGGCCTCTGACTCTTACTAGAGAGCTAAAGGAGCCTCATAAGCTGCTCACATGGAGCCACCACTGGATGGGGACCAAGAGCCCCTTGTCCAGGTGTGGGTTGTACTGGGGGTGGTACTGTTTCCTGTCACCACAGTAAGTGGAATTGTCCAAAGCCATGAACCATGAGGACTGAAATGCCTGAAGGAGATGTCCCTTTCTAGCAGGAGTCCAGGCTGTGGGGTTGGCAATGGCATGTCATGGGCCAGTCAAGATTGCAGTTTGTTCCATTGACAGGGTGGGAGCACTCCAAGCTGGGCAAGAAGAGAGGAGATGCAGGAAAGCCCTGGATCTCTGCCTTAGCTAAAGGCCTTGGTTTATGAGACTGGTCTTTCTGAATGGTGCTTGGCCTGGAAGGATCCAACTCCCTTCCCTTCCGAAGACCCACAGGGGCCTTGGACCTGCAGCCCCAGGGTACCATGCTCCCACTCACATGTCCCCTTTGTTCCAGAGCCAGGACTGCATTGCAGCAGCGTTGGCCTCCAGCAAGATCCTCAAGGAGCTCTCCAGGGAGGAGGAGGACACAGACAGCAAAGAGGAGATGCTGGCCCTGGCAGAGTGGTTCGAGCTCGGAGCCATCGGTGAGCACGAGGGCAGCGGTACACTGAGAGGAGGACACAGGAGGCACTGGCAGGCTCCTCCCAACCCCATGCTCTTTTCTGGAGTCACTGCCTTCCCTCCTGACCCCTCCCTACTGAGGGACATTTATCTGCAGCCTGTCTGGCACACAGCACTCAACTGCAGTGCACCATGTGGTGTGTTTGCAATTCAGGGCCCTGCAAGCTCACAGGGTGGTGTTCTGGGCAAGGTCCAAACTGCAGCCCCTACTGCTCTAGGAACAGTGTTTTTTTCTGAGCTGAGCTGCCTGCCTGCAACACACCTCTGGGGTGCTCTGGTTGGCCCATGGGGAAGGGCTTTGCCCAGTCCCAGGCCTGCCACCCACATGTGTTTCTGTGCAGGGGTGTTCACGGAGTGCTACCGCAAGGACGAAGAGAAAGCCCAGAAGCTCCTTATCCGTGTCTCTGAAGCCTGGGGAAAAACGACCTGCCTGCAGCTGTCTCTGGAGGCCAAAAACATGAATTTTGTGTCCCACGGGGGCATCCAGGTACATTTCCAGCTGTGGGGGAGGGGAGAGCTCACTTCTTTTCCCCCTGCCTGCTTTCCCCCTTCACAAAGGACTTTTCACCAGGAAGAAAGCAGAGTCCTCAGTGTGGCCATACATGCTCAGGCAGCTCCCAGCAGCAGCTTGGCCACACAAGTATCTCTACCCACTCAGGGAGCTGTGGCACTGGCTCAGCTCGGTGCCCTGTTCCCACGGGTTCTGTGCTGCTCGGAGAGGGACCCACTCCCACCCACAGCATGCAAGGGATGATGCCAGCCAATAAGCCCCTGGCATGCACGGTCTGCCCCCACCCTGTGCTGGGTCTGTGCTTTGGCCACTCAGCCCTCAGCCCCTTTGCTTTCTCCTGTATAGGCTCCACGCCTCAGCACGGCAGGCCCTGTAGAGCCTGAACAGCGAGCTACTTGCACAGCCATATGGGGTGGGTCTAGCCTCTGACCTTAAGGACAGGACCATTTCCCCCTCACTGAGCCCTCCATGGTCTTGTCTGAGTGGTTGCTACAGGAGACAATTCTGCTGTGCGAGTGGGGTGGATCAAGGCAGAATTTCTCTTCCGGAGCGGGGAGGCTACCCTGTGGGATGGAGGGATGTCAGCTGTCAAGGTGTTTCTAAGCCTTCCTCAGAGGTGGTGGGTGTTGGCTGCAGTCCAGGCTGGGGGCTTTGACTGGGCTACGCCAGTGCTCCTGCTGGGACTTAAACCTGGAGGGTCCTGACTAGAGGGACTTGTGCCCCTACCCAGGGTCAGACTGATGCCATGTTTGAGATCAGGAAGGAATTTTGCCTTGTGGTCAGAGTGGTATGGACTGGCAGGGTTTTGCCTTCCTTTGTAGCCATGGGCATGGCCTCTACCTGGGATCTCATGGGCATGTATTAACAACCTTTCATGGAAGCAGAACTTTGGCTGCCACAGTCCCCCTGCTTTACCTCTGGTATTTTTGGGTGTGATGCCTGGTGTTATGTCAGGGTTGATGGCAGTCTTATGTAGAGTTTAGATGACAGATTTGTCTGGGATGGTTTGGATAGGGCTGATCCTGCCTCAGGCAGAGGTTGGACTAGATGTGACCTCTGAAGGTCCCTTCTAGTCCCACTTTTTTGTGATGGGCTCTGGCCTCCATGTGACTGTAAATTCATGCCCTTCTGCTCCCAAATTGCAGACCTTTCTGACCAAAGTCTGGTGGGGGAAGCTGTGTGTGGACAACGGGCTCTGGAGGGTCATCTTATGCATGCTGTTCTTCCCGCTTCTCTACACCGGCCTCGTCGGCTTCAGGTACTTTCAGGGATCCCTCTCTGGGTAAGCAGCAGCAGAAGTGGCCTGTGGCAGAAAGCCTATGGCAAGGACATTTGCAGTGTGAGCAGGAGTTGGAAGATTCACAGTGACTGGCTGCAGAGGGAGGTGGGGTTCCCAGTGCCACCTCTTTCTTTGCTAACAGGTCAGACACAGTGGGTGCTAGTGTGATAACCCCTACATTATCAGCAGTGTCCCCGCCATGCTGTGCAGGGCCTCAGCAACCAGGCCTGTCAGCTCATGCTATAGTCAGCCCAGGCTCTAGCTCTGCAGAAGTGACTCCCCCATTGAAACAGCACATCGCACACCAGAACACTCACTGCCTACTTCAGGGCCAGCCCCAGCCCCAGCCCCAGCCCCAGCCCCAGCCCCAGGACCATTGCTGTCCTGTAGTCATGTCTTGGATCAACAAGGGCTTCTCTAGAGGAAGCAGGCCAGGCATGTGTTGCCAAGGCCTGGAATCAGATCTGTAGGCACTAGTGACCACCTGGGGCTGCCCAACTGAGACATTCAGTGAGTGCTGGGCCCTGTGACTCCCAACACCCTGGCCCTGGAGCAGGTGCCCAAACAACACCTTGGGCATGGCATTGCCTGATCCAGCCAGCAGTTGTGGGGAAAGACCTTCTGGACCATACAGTGCAATCTAGTAAGACCCATGATAGTCACAGCAGGCCCAGGGTAGAAAGCTGTTCCCTACATGATGTGCCATGCTGTGTTTGTCTGTACTAAAGCCTCCCCAAGTTAGAAAGCAGGCCTGCCCTAGCAGAAGCCAGCAACATTTCCTGAGCCCTGAGTCATGCATCCTTTCCTGGTTACTTCCCCCCACTCAGGGAGAAGAGGCTGCAGCCGATGAACTGCCTGACGCGCTTCCGAGCCTTCTTCACAGCCCCCGTCGTCATCTTCCACCTGAACATCCTCTCGTATTTCAGCTTCCTCTTGCTCTATGCCTACGTCCTGATGATTGATTTCCAGGAGACGCCATCCTGGCGAGAGCGTATCATCTATTTTTGGCTCTTCTCCCTGGTGTGTGAGGAGACCCGCCAGGTACGGGACAGGCAAGGCAGGGGCAGGTGGTGGGTAGGTGACATGGGGCTTGATACAGGCTAGGCTGTCCTGACGACTGGGTTGCCCCCTGTGAAAGAGCGTCTAGCCATGCTGAAGCAGGCAGTAGCAGTTCCTGTTTCCACATGGGTGTGTGCATGCTCCCTCTTGTGACATGCTTTTTTGGGGTTGATGTGCACACGATGTCTCGGGTACATCTGCAGATGAGTGAGAACATCACAAGCCAAGATCTTGTGGGATCTCACAAAAATTCCATAATTTTTACCTGCAACTTGATGAAGCCGCATCTCTCAGCCAGACATGCGCTCAGGGACATGCTCTCAAGTATGTGTGCTGGTTCCTAGAGTTACAGAGACCATTAGGCCAGCTAGTCTGCACATAGGGTTTCAACCAGTTAGTGAGCCTAGTAACTTATGTGTAGCTAAAGCAGACCTTTCAGAAAGGCAATCAAGCCTGGTTTGAAGACATCAGGTGTTAGAGAGCCTATTCCTTCCCTTGGAAGTTTATTCCAGGGGCTAGTTAGCTTCACAGTGGAAAAAAAACCGTGCCTGATTTCTAATTTTGAATTTGTCTATCTTCAGGTCCCAAATGCTAGGTCTTCTTTTGTCTTTTTCCTCCAAATTTGAAAAAGTTGATACCAGGTATTTTGATCTGGACAGTCAAGGTGTCCGTACCATCACCACCAAGAAAATGTGGACAGTCAGGTTTTTTTTAACATATGGAACTAGCTTTTTACGGTTGAAATCAGAAGCAAACCTAGGACTTGTTGTCTAAGCCTGTAAACCTACAGGAGGAAGGGGAACTGCTGCAATTTCCCCTGCAGGGACCTCTTGACCCATATCTCATGGAGATGGAATTGCATCTCTACAGTGACTAGATCTTCAGCTGCTATAGAGAGGTGTAGCTCTATAAACTCCAGTAGAGACTCTGTGGGACCTCGCTGGTGCTGTACCAGTGCACACACAAGCTGGGGATCTGGCCCATTCCTCAGAGCTAGGCAGCCAGTGCCCACCAGAATCTGGCTAGTACATTTCCAATGTGCTCCCAAGATGTGATGGTGGTGATTCATCACCTCATCCTTACGCTGATCACTAAATAATGACTTCATGGTTGGTCCAAAGGATGATGATAGCAATAATAATAATATCGCAACAGCCACTGGTATATGTACAGGTATCCTACCAGTTCCTGGCAATACCAGTGAACAGATCATCAAATTCCCAATCTCTCCCTATTATACAAAGATGAGTTCTAGTGGGTAATGAGCTGGCAGATATATTACTTGCCCAGCACTGCTGATATCTGGGCTCTGCAGCTTTCTCCCTGAGTTGCAAGAAGTGGTCCAAAGGAAATAAGCACTTCCAGCAACAAGAACTTCTTTATTATTCCATGAAGACTAAGCACCAGGGAAAAGTAAACTTCTGTAAAAAGCTAGATGACCAAGCTTTGAATCAGTGCCTCTCAACCTTTTTAGGCATAAGGCACCCTTCAGAAAATGCCAGCTCTGACCTTTCACTCATTTTTATGATTTTAGAAAAATAATAGAGCAATTTTCTGTTGCAAAGAACTCGAAGACCACACCAGGTCACAACCTCCAGTGCCCCTCAGCAGCCTAAAGTCCTTTTACTGAAATACTTGTTCCACTTCTTTTTCCCAACAGCTTTTCTATGACCCGGATGGGTGTGGGTTACTGAAAATGGCTTCCTTGTACATCAGTGATTTCTGGAATAAGCTGGATGTCTGTGCCATCCTGATCTTTATGGCAGGACTGACATGTAGGTAAGCATGGAGGATTTGGATGGGCAATCTCCTCATGCCACTCACCAGAGCCAGCTGGAAAACAGGGAGAGGAATTTGCAATTGTGTTGTTGAGATTTTTTTTTTCAACATTTAAAAAGAATGGTAGTGTGAGGAAGGATGATGTAAGCATGATGGTCTGTGAATTATGCGAGAGGCAAAGATTTCTTTGGGTGGTATCTTTTATTAGACCAACTGCATCACTGGGATAGACTTAAAGGAGCTTTTGAAGACAAAACATTCTTCCTCAGATCTGAGGAAAAAAGCCAGCACTGTGATTGATAGATTATTACTTTTTCTTCTCAGACCTGAAGAAGCATGTTTTGCATTCAAAAGCTCTTCTAAGTCTACCCCAGTGATGCAGTTCACCCCCCACAAAGATATCATCCAAAGCAATCCTTGCCTCTCCTGCTCAAAAAAAAAAAAAAAGTGCAAAATGCTGATGAAATTTTCAATTGGAACATGGATGTTTTTTACAAGCTTCCCTCTGTTCCCAGCTGCTTTGATGCTAGGCCTGATGTGTTTTATGCTCTGTTCCACTCTCAAACAGGACTCCAGGGGAAGAGCTATTCTTCTCTGGGAAGGTAAGCTGATCATTTGCAAGGAAAACAACTCCACGTAAGGAGATACACTGATGTGTTTTCTTTTCTCTTTTCTCCGCCAGGTTAATCCCATCTACTTTATATCCAGGACGGATCATATTGTCCCTGGCTTTTATCATTTTCTGCCTGCGTCTGATGCACATCTTCACAGTCAGTAAAACACTGGGGCCCAAAATTATCATTGTGAAGAGAATGGTAAGAGCTCTTCTTCCTTGGGGGTGACTTATTTGTAGTGGGAGCAGAGCAGGATCTACATAAGACTTATGAATTGGGGCTCATGGAGAGGGTTGTAGGATCTGGGAGGGAAGCGAGTGTCACCCAAGTATTTGTTCCATTGAAAGCCAACTGTTCACTCCTGCTGTCTCTTTTTATTTTGCAGATGAAGGATGTCTTCTTCTTCCTCTTTCTTTTGGCTGTTTGGGTTGTGTCTTTTGGCGTGGCCAAGCAGGCCATTCTTATCCACAATGAGGAGCGGGTGGACTGGATCTTCCGGGGTGTCGTCTACCATTCCTACCTGACGATTTTTGGGCAGATCCCTTCCTACATTGATGGTACTGACTCCAGGGCTTCTCACTTGTTTCTGCCTGGGCCTGGTTGGTGCTGGGCAGGGAAAGATTTCCAAAGCAGGACAAGAGCATAAGACCTGCTATTGACTGGCTTAGAGCTTGTGCCCACGTAGGCCATGATCCTGCCTCAGTGGCAGAGGGTGGATGCAGAGGGGTGGGTGAACAGGATATCTTTGTTACAGCTCATGTTGGCTACCATGCTCATCCAGTTCTTCATGAACTAGTGCTGTCAGTGTGTGGGGGGGCCTCTAGCAGCTCAGGAAGGACCTCAGCCATGACAAGACTTTGCAACATGGCTGAGACCATCTAGCCCACCCCCCAGCTCAAGGCAGCATCACCCTTATCTAAACTAGCCCAGCCAAGCATTTGTCCAACCTGCTGGAACTCTCTGGCCCCTGTCTGACTGGTTTGAGGGCTGGGTAGAGATGAAATGCAACAGGACTGATGCTCTGTTCCATGATGCATGCTTCATTCAGCTGTGGCTCTGGGGAGTCAGCAAGGCTGGATCCCCACCTGCTGCAAAGCAATAGTAGCTGTGCTGGGAGCAGTGGGCCAGGACCCAAGGTGATGTCAACGGATCAGGTTCCACTGGAGCCAGTGGAAACTGGTGTAAGAGAAGGGAGAGCCTGGTTCAGGGGGTGTGGGGCAGGTGGAGCAACAGGAGGTGGCTCCAGAACCTCTGGGTACAGGACTGACTGATAATTGCAGCGACTCAAAAAGCCTGATCCTGGGAGGTGCTAGGTGGTATCTGCCAGGCCCTGTACACCCTCAGCTGTCATTGCGGTCAAAGTCC